TGTAAATTTATTTGAGTTTCACAGGATATTCCCTTGGCACCCAGATGAATTCTTGTTTATTCCTTACCTATACATCCAGACATTTGAGTATATGATTATAATTTCCTGCAACATAATCTTGATGGAAAATCGCGACCACGACTTATTCGGGTACAGCTTTTGGAATATCACAACTCGTGCTCAAATCAACCTCTCTTTGGGTCGCATGTTTAAGATCAAGAAAACAGGAAACTAGCAGAATTAGTTATATAATATTTCCGGCAAGTATACCTGTTTACGGCTCATTAAAATGACTTTTTTCCGCCAGATATCCGAAGCGATATAAATATTTTTGCGTTACGCAGCTCATAATTTTATGATGAACGTTTGGGATAGAATGAAATTCAGTTCCCTCTGGGTAATGTTACGACGGTTCTTAGTTTAAGTGACCCCAATTCACGTTCAAATAATCAAGGAGGGTACACAGACGAAAGGCCAACCTGCGTGTACTCAAATCTTTCAACACTCGAAAGTTCTGAGATAGAACTGGCGGTCTCCGAATTAAGCGTTTTGGCAATAGCTTGGGAAATTGCTGTTCTGAGGGCTAGATTATGGGTCAAAATTCGATATTTTTCATAAGTTAAAAGGTTTTTTCAGCAAACGCCGTCTAGCCTGGAGTCAGTATAGGTCAACCGCTTTTGTCGGAACAGGTTTTACTCTTCACCGGTCACGCGAAAGCTGAGGGCGATTGAGTAACAGAGTGGCTTAGTAGGCGGAAAACCACTAATGATTCAAACTAAAAATGTATCATAATTACAGCGCCCTCCATCTTTCGCGCATGTGACCTCCGCCTACAGAATTGCTTTCCTATTGTAAATTTCAATTCGCGGATGAGCCTAAAGAGGTGTGGTGGCGTTATAATTTACGGCAGCACGCAAATGCAGGTATGCTTTCTACTGTGTGGAAATGAACCGTGCGTGAGATTGCGATCGCGCTAAGTTACACTGTCGAATCCGTTACGTCGATGATGTTGTCAGGCTATAAATGGTTATGAATGGACATAGAGATGCTAAGATGTTTTATGCACTAATACCAGTTTTCTTCTTGTGGGCAGCAGTTTACAGTTATTAGATGCAACAGGTGTAGTATAGTAAAGAAGCGAAAAATGAGGTTTTCTGAAGGTCTAATTACGGTTTAGGCAAAACACTATCATACCCGGTTGAAGACCCGGACGTGGGACATATTTTCCTTGCAATCTAATTGCTAAAGGTTTTCTGCAATTGCCCATGTTCTTGTGAAGCCAACTTGCGCACTTGTCTCGTGTGCGTTTTTGTGTGTGTGTCGTGCCACGTTGCATGTAGTTATTGAGTGTAATAAAAGTAAACATCCCCGATTGACTGCTGCACAAGTTGACCTAGCACAACTTGACTAAATGTGGATGAATAAAAAAAATATCGCAAGTGGCGCGGTGGCAGTGACTTAAACAAAATGAATAACAAAACTATAGTGTATTTATTTTTGGTCTAGATTGCAAGCGGGACAGGATTTTCATGTGTGGTGGCGGAAAAACACAGACTTGTCATCTAGTGAGTGACTAAAAACATTGGGCGAAGTTAGTCGAAGGATCTATAGTGGCTGCTATAAACTCTTGAGTTTCACAACGTGACAATGTAAAAACCACGTGCGCGATTGCATATGTTCCCCACAAATAATTTTTGCTGAATATGGGATCGCCTTACATTCGTCAATATTTAATCTATGAAAACAAAAAATGCCCAAGGCGGGGTAAATCCCCCCCAGTAAATGGACACTGAATGATTAATGGTCGTTTCTTTCACTGCGTCATCTCGAATGATGCGGACCGCAGTAGGATGTCATCACGTTGCTCGCCGTAGCTTCCAACTTTTGTCAGGAAAATGTCCGAACTGAATGTTGCAGGTAAACGCCGATTTGCTACACATGCAATGCTGACACTGTATATAACTTCAATTACAGACCATCGAAACTAGTATATTTATAGAAGAACACAGGGTGATAAGGATTGGATGATATTGCCTTGAAAATAATCTGAATTTCAGCAGTAAAAACAACTCGAGGCCATTGTTTTTCAAGTAATATTTATTTTTGATTTATTTTATATATTCATTATTTTGTTTGTATATTTTATTTGTACAATAATTATTATTAAATATTAGACGATTTTTGAAATTTGGCGGCGTCAAATGAGTTGAAAAATTACGAAAATGTAGTAAAATATCCATAAAATTTTACGCATACAGGAAAGACGTTTCAACAAGCAGAATAGACAGTAGAAATGGTGACATTCTGCTATTGCGGGACTGGTCTTTGTGGGTGCTGAACAACAAAATTAGAACAGCAGCAATTCACGTTGGGCCACGAAATACGCCAAAATCTGTACATGAAGCGATGGATCCTATTTTTCTAAGTTGTTTCAACAATTCAGGGTTATCTCTAGGCTAGGCATTTCATTTTGCATAAAAGTGAAAAGGGAAATTGCTCATCATTGTTAGACCTCATCTCAAGAGTTGTAGCATCCCAATAATCAGGTGTTTCGGGTTAACTGCGTATAAGTCCCATCTACGGAATATCCGATAGCTTTATTGATCTTTGCAATACCTCGGAACGTTTGTCAGAGCGTGCACATGCTGTGTTTTGAAGACCTAAGAGCTGCAGAAAATTAAAATGAACTCAAGCTTAAGCATGTATATTCTCTGACGCCTGAATCAGCCGTCCCCGTAAAACGCAATGTACAGGTTGCGTTATCAGATACCGTTATATGTGTAGGCTGACTGTGCCAAGGAATAATCGCCTGATAGTTTCAATGCTAAGGAGCTATCATTCGCGAAACAAGAGGTATGACACTCCGATATCTTTATATTGACCAAAATACCTGAACTAGAAATGAAAAACCCGTAGAACACAAAGTTAACCTGCCGGCGCATCTCCATGGCGGTGCTCCAGTTGACGAGAGGCTGACATTTTAATGAGCCGATATGTTAATTGTGCACTCCTGACAGGACGTACCTTATTTTACAATGGTTATATCCCAGCAAAATTTAAAAAAACAAATCGACTAATTTACCGTTCGTCTCATGTGCAGATGGAGACATATGACAGGTTTCCGGAAGTCTTTCAGCCGGGTTCATTTTTGGAACTTTAGTCACCCCCGAGTATCGATTTGGGCTCCACGGAGCTGCGTATGCTGCTAATACCATGTGGATCCATGCGGCGGTCTTCACGGATACACGGATTGATACACAGGATCGAGGCTTCCGCCCAATATTTCCGGATCACTTTTGTTCTTGTTGGTCAGTGGCTGTTGTTCACCTGAAAAGCACAAGTGGACAAAAGGGTGTAGCACTGATCTTTATGTTCTCAGCGCGGGGCAGTATGCTCGCCAGCGCGAGGATTCACATAAATAAGTGTCTAATAGTGCTTTAAACTCGGTTCTTCAAGGAGCATGGACAACCTTCGGAGGAAGGTCATTCCACGCAGCTACTACCCGAAATGAGAAATAAATTTTGTCTGATGAATGTGTGCGCTCTGAGCTAGGAAATTTTCTCACTATGTCCCCGTCGTGTGCTTGCTGGGTCGACGGTGAAAAACCTGTTTGCCAAGCTTTGTTCAAACAGCACATAAGTAAGAATTAGGTCCCCTCGGGTGCGACGGTACTCCATGGGAAAGAGATCAAGCATCGCGAGACGCGTTTCGTAGTCCACGGATTTGAGGCCGGCAACCATTCTCGTAACGGCTCGCTGGGCACGCTCAATGAGGGTAAAGTCTTTCGTCCGTCCTGAGTAGACAACTTAGTTGGCGTACTCCAGGAGCGGTCTGACGTAAGCCCACTAGAATATTTGGAAGTCCATGCTAGTAATACGGGAGAAGGTGCTTCGCATCATCCGCAAAATGGCGAATGCCTTCTGGGACAATTTCTCATGGTGCAGTGAGAAGGACAATTTTGAGGGGACCGAGATGCCCAAATCCTTTTTGGCATCTATCCTCATGATGTTTTCTGGTCCTTCCTCACCATGCTTAACAAAGGCACTCGCTGAGTCTCCTCCAAACGACATATGGACGCACTTTGACTCATTCAGAGGAAGGTGCCAGTCCTACGACCACTGCTTGGCAGCGTCTACATCCATTTGGAGGGTGCTGGCATTGGAACTCCAGGATTTCAGGTCGTCCGCATAAAGTAGACATGGACTTGCAAGAACATCTGGAAGTCCGTTGACGTAGATCAGAAACAGCACTGGTCCCAGGACGGAACCTTGAGGAACTCCAATGAATACCGGCGCTGGAGAAGAGTAGGTCGAGTCTATTCTCACTCGGAAGGATCTGTCTAATAGGAACGCCTTGATCCAACGAGTGATTTTCCCGTGAATCCCGTAAGACTCGAGTTTGTGGAGGACCCTATCAAATTTTTTTGAGAAGTCGAAGAATATGGCATCCGTTCAGACTCCGTCGGTGTGAATGTCCGTTATCGGGTCTGTCCAGAGGTTTCGTGACTGAATACGGATTTTTTATATCTGCCGGTTTGCCAATCTGCTGTGTCTGGCTGCTGAACCGCTCCAGGGCCTAGTGCCGAAAAATGATTCACAGAAGGGGACACAGCTATATTCCGACCAAGCGAGCACGAGTGCATGCTTGCACGCAAAGGCCAAAATACAAGTGTCTCAATCTATTTATTGGAAGGACACTGCCTGAACCTGGTCCAATGAGTTGGCGTACGGTCTCGCTTTGGTACGAGGCTGTAAGTCGCTGCGCACTGCGGGTGCGTTGTCTGACCTTGATCAAAGCTGGCTCGTACTGTCTGGGTTTTATAAGAGACTGAAACATGCTGCATGCTGGGGGACGTTGACTCTCTGGCCAAGATCTAGTAGAGATGACGGTCTCAGTGAATATCGGGCATCCGGGCGTTAAATTCAGGAAACTATCCTCCCTGACAATTCCCCTTTCTGGGCCGTTCAACCAACGCGGACCCATTTGAACAGGTTCAACCATTACCCTATGCGTCCGTACGACTTCTTGGTTGCAGCAGTGGGTCTGTCTTGAGCAGAATAGTGGCTCTTAGTGGCTCTCTTTACCTGGGAGAGGGATATGAAATGAATCGCCAAATGTATGGGTGCTGTTGGTTCATTTCCATATGAAAAACATGATCCTAACTGCGCCTGGCTGGAGATACTGCAAGATATTGCTGCCTCGCGGTGTCAATAGTGATCTTGTTGTCGCTCAGTATTCAGATTGCCTCAATGAGTGTTTGGATATGTTGGCATATGGGAATGATTGTAGTAAGCGATCAATACGGCCATCCCCGTCAACCTTTATCCGGTTCTCCAAAACTTTCAACTTGAAAATGGTTGTACGCCGTCAAAACATGGGTGTTTTCCTTTGACGTCATGCTGTCGGTTATTGTGGTGCTCTAGATGCCAACAAATCTGAGCATCATTTGAAAACATCTAACACAGCTGGCTTCTTATAATAAAACAAAATTGGGATCAGCAATTTTTATGTTTTTCTCATGAAGTTGAAAAAGCGCTCTGTTTCAAGGTACACGCATATTTCCGGATCTCACGGATAATGATTATCGGGCAGCAGTATGAGCTGGTTTGTTGTATGAATTTGAGGTGCTGCCTCTTCGGGCAACGGAACAGAGAAGCCACCAGTACGTCGACTACTGTTGTCCCGGAAGAGTAGCACGTGAACACAGTGGGTAAATTCGGAACAAAAAAAATACAAATCGAGTTTTCGGTACTTTAGCGTGCACGCCCACTGCATATTGCGTCCGGCATTAAAGGTTAGTTAGGCCATGTATTGCTCACTGCGCGCCATCGTGTGTCCCCCTCATCCAGCCGGCTGGTAGCGATATTCTATCGACCCATTCAGAGGTATTGTAAAAGCCCTCGTGCTCCGATGGAATCAAAACTGCACAACTCCTCTTGGGCAGTAAATGCAGACTAAATATGATGGCAGCCGTTGAAAAATTGGAAGTGTTTTCGGAGGAAAATCGACTGCCGTGGTAAGTTCCATTTGATAACTTTGGAAACTCGATTGGCCGGAAAACACGAAGATGCAATTATTTCCGTCACAGAGTCTGTAGGCTTTGAAAGCACTGTTGGTTCTAAGTTAAAGTTCCCAAGCTCTGAGTTCGCATTTTCCTTGATATGGCGCTGCGCGAAACATATATGTAGTTGGCCTAACTTTATCCAGAGTCTTTGCCGGGTCGCAGATTTTGAATCTACTATGGAACGGGCGTACAAAAATCAAAGTAATCTTTCAATATTTCACTTTTGACCTTGCAATAAACATTTGGTCTATACGCCAACTTACAATGATAGTCGCATTGGTTTACGAGTTAGAAAAGCATGTGCAAGACACTAGAGCTAAAATCAGCATTTTCGGGTGTTATCTCAGGGCCGCCTGGTAATGTGTATGGTTTATTTGTCAACTGTCACACCCCAAATATTAGAGACGGCATGATCCCAAAATTGTAGCATAATATTTGATGTGGTTTACCTATGAAAGCAGTCAATCTGTGATTCTCATCAGGAGACTTTTAGAAAAGACTTTACTTATCAGCCAAATTCAGCCTGATCATTATCTCCCTGGCTCTATTAGAACATCGACGGCTTTCCCATGGTTATCAGCAAAACGTGGTTGTTTGTTTTGATTTGGCGCCTAAAAATATACCATGTTTTGTATTTGTAGGTGGCAGATTGCGTTCTGCCACACTGTCAGCACGAGATATGTAGTGCATCAGCTCACTGAACACATGATTTCTGCTAAGAACATGTTACACACTAGCCAAGATCTGTTCCATCCTACGTCTGGGCAAGCCTGACATATCCATCTGGAGTGAGCGGACATCGATGTCATCTCTCAGGAGAACAAGCTCTAAACGTAATTGGACTACACAACCGCCAATATAATAATCCTTTTCGTTGAAACAGATTTAACTAGTTTTTGTTCACCCGCCCTTGACAGGGGATTTTAATATAACATTCTGGCCCGCCTAGAACCTTTCACGTGAGCCTCACAAACAGTCCGTTCTCGGCTTTATATGACACGTCTGTCCGCATCAAATGTCCAATACGCAATGTTCAATAGATCAGCTCAATAGGTCAAATCAATAGATTCACACGTTCATCGGGTTTTCTGGTTTGGCTAAGCACATCGCGCTTACGTTATTTGAAAGGCATTAAGAAAAAGGGTTGTGGTAACTCCTTGATCAGTTCTGTTCAAATATTCGGACTGCAACTTTTCGCCTGGATGTAGATCAGTACAGGGTTATGCTAAATCACAATGTGCACTCATAAACACGGGCATAATACGTGGTCACCACCAATCAGACGGCACTCTTATACCAAATAATATTACAAGTGGTCCGCCACCCAAAATGTTATCCACATACGTGTTCGGCGGACGGTGTTGGAAGCCGCCGATACAAGATAAGTTACTAAGCGCTTTACCAAAGCGAGCTACGTGGAAAATTGTCCACCAATCTGTAAAACTCTCGAAGCGTTTTGGTTTCTCACGAGATAACATATAAACATTGCGGACTGGAAAATTTAGCAAGTATTCTGAAGACCATATAAACATGGATTAAGGTACAGTGAAATTTCTCAATGGGGATGAAGTGTGCAACATTCAGAGACTAACGGACGTACAAGAATGTGAGCCGGAGATAAACACGTGAGAAACAAGAAAAGTGGGAAAGAATGAACAGTCTACTATTGTGTCTAAAAAACTACCGAGATCAAAGTATGCCGTCAGCTTACCTGAATACCATAAGAGAACTGGATTCAGTTATACAAGTCTGATTGTAAAGATTGCTGCAGACAAAGGTATATGATACGGCATTACTTTCTGACTTTGCAGTGGCAGGTTATTCCGGTTACAAAGTGGGGCATCCGGCCCAACCAATTAATTGCTTGTAAAATTAGTTTTTTTAAATACCCCTCATTTGACGTTGAACGAGATGCTGCTGATTGTGTCGACGTGGTACCACTGGTTTTACCTCTGCTTCTCGTAATAGAACCTTGGCTGAACAAAATGTTCGGTGGAGTAATTCACGAACTAAATCTTCGCACTTGCAACAGGGGGCCCGGCATTTATATTTGGTGGTGGATATCATATGACCATCGATGGAACAACAACTTCGATAATTGTTTTCACTAATAAAAAGCTAGCTAAAATATAGTTCGTGTGATTGCGATAATGCTGCTACATGCGCGATTTGTTGGGCAATTATGAAGCAGCCATCTGCCGTACAATAGAGCCAAGCAGAACCGTTTCTGTTTGCCTGTAACCATTTCTGCTGCTACTTGTAAGGCTACTGAGCCTTAAAACAGGTGTCATATTTAGTGACAAGATGTTCTTAAGTGTATATTTGATGGCCGTGCTTGATATCTCTTTCGGGTAACTCCACTCTGCAACATTTGTCACTACGCCAAGGCCAATATCACCGCAGGACTTCACTAAATGATGACGTCATGGAATTGTGGTCTTAACGCAGTGCATAAAGGTGATTACCCAATAAGTAGACGGTATATTCACTGTTGTTAACAATAAAACCGAATTGGAATTGCTCCAATAACAGTTCAATAAGGTTAATACCGCCATTCAGTTCACTTCGGAAGGAGAAACCGACAAATTCTTGGCTTTGAATGACGTCACGATAGTAGACTGCAACGATCAGAGTACCGAAAACTTACTTGGTTCGGGCAATGCATTACCTTTAGCAGCTTCATGCCACTAAACCATAAACGGCACCTGGTACAGCCTAACTAACAGAGCGTAGAAAATATGCTCCGATGATGCGCTTGAAAAAGAATTTCAAACTCTCACCAACGTCCAGAGTGACAGTGGATTCCACAACAAGTTTATTACAAAGCATTTGAACAAGGAGGATGCAAACACCATCACAGACACAGGTGGAAGTAAACCAGTTTACGTTAGCCTCCCGTTTTTGGGAGATATACCGGCCGGCCTACTGAACAGGAGACTTTCCACCAGTCTGAACTAAGTATTCCTGGCCGCAACACTCCGAACCTGGTACACCAGCAATAGTATGTACACTATAATCTCAAGGAGAGGGTGCCTGACCACGCCCAAAATATGTTAGTATACTCATTTTCTTGCAGCTGTGCAGCGGATTACATCGGATGCACGACTAGGCAACTCGGTCGAAGAGTGAAGGAACACAATCCATCCCCGCTAGCTTCTGCAAATAGGGAGAGGATAACCAGCTCTGTAGTACAACATTTAGCTGACACTGCACACAAAGTGATACCCAGCCAAAGCTTCCGCGTTGTTTACAAAGCGCTGGCTAATCAAGCCAGATCAATACAGCACAGTTGAAGTGGATGAAGCTATTGCCATGCGACATCGCGACATCGCAACCCGATCCTTTGTTGGCAAAAACGCTTTGTTCGTGTGTTGTACTTACTACGGTCCAACTCATCTTGCCTCGCACATTCACCGTCTGCTGAACACACAACTACAGCACTCCCTGCAATGACTAGCTCAAGTCACCCTATTGGTGACCTGAACTGATTTTTCTCTGATAGGTAGCCAATGCTGTCTTACTCGATTTCCTGTCCATTTACACGATACTCATTTAAATGTCTTAAATACTGCTATCTTAGCCTTTGCAGTTGTATGATTTGAAAGGTCCTTACCGAAAACATGTTCGTCAACCCATTCCTTTTCTTATTATAAATGGGAACTTTCGGAATAAAATATTTTTTCTTTGTGCCAGACCACCCGGGGAGAATAACCTGCCCGGATTTTTAATGAACCAATGTGTAACGAATCTCCACAAGTCATCAATAGATATGTCCTCCACTAATTACTATGATAAAATTGCGTTAATATAGTGCAGTCCGAATCAACAAGTCACTTCCCTAAGTCCGATGAGCTGCCTGTTCTTCGAGAAGGTCACTTAAAACCACCACGAGCTCCTGTTTGGCAAATATTGATGTTAATTCTGCATTTCAATTGTAGCCATCTTTCACAACAGCTTTAATTTCTTATGTATAGGTTGCCACGGGACCACCTTTGCCTGGCCTTGAATTGGCGTTTAAATGCTACTAGCATACAGCGGACGTTTTCAATACCACCAGCTTCTTACGACCAACAAACTCAATTTGTGGTTGTTTCCGGTTGAAGCAAGTTCAGTGCTTACTAGTAAGAGGAATGGAGACATATCCTAAAAATAGGCGGTTGACTAAACTCCAAAGAAAGGTGGATAACGCAAACAAGAAATTCTGTGTTAGTCATCTAGTGCGTTGAGTGATAAGGAATATTCATGTAACAACCCACGTGATCTGGTTAATATGAGCAACTTGTTCACATGCCAGCTGCATATTCTAAACTGATGACGAGTACGGATAAAGAGTTTGAAACCCTCGAAAATTATCGAATTTGGCAAATGAAACATGCACATTTTGGTGAAAAGTAAAGCGGAATAACCTGATTGATTTCTGGTACGGCCATCGTGGTATACAGCACCACCAACGAGTTTGGGGTCAACGGCAGAGAGCTTTTTGGGCGACATATTCGAGAGTGATTCTCGAAGACATCTTATATATGTATGTGAAATGGTCGAGCAGCATCACATTCGTCTGGAGCCAAACAAAGTTTGTCAAACGCCGCTTGTCAACAACGGCATCCCTAAACCAACAAGACATACACAGAAGTGACCATTGAATGACTGGATAAACAAAACACCTTCCCGCTACCGAACGTAATACGGTAGGGGAGAGACTGAAAATATGGGTCAGACAAACGTCCCATGGGGGATCAATACACTATCATTAAGCCTAAATACACAATGCGTTAAGCAGATCAATCTAAAAAAATTCGTCGTAGTTTGGAGTACGTTGATGAACATAATGCATTCCCACATTCTCGGCCAAGTGGCTATGGCAGTCTGCTTGAGCATACACTTAGAAATATAGCATTGTTTGGTACTGCCCGAAATGCACCTTGGGGCAGACGCCTAATGAAATGCTCAAAACCTCCATTAGCTATTCCAGCAATCGAGTCAGTGCTGCTCAAGCGCGCGTTTGCTTAATTAAACAAGCTTGAGTTGTTCACTTTGTAGACCGAAAAGTGGGAATCGCCCCGAAAAACCCTGTGAGGCGCAAACATGTTTAAAAAACCTGATTCTTTTTGTAAATACGTGATAAGGTTTATGTTCGTTATTTCAGGCAACTAACTAACGGAACAAAATGTCAATTTAATCATCACCGTACTGCACGATAGGCTCTTTGTACACATTGCGGGCATTGATGACACCCAGGTTTCCGAATGTTCAAGTCGGTAAAGGCTTATCTGTGGATTTTGCAAAATAAGTTAGAAAAAGTATTGTGGCTATGAATGCAGCTGAGGCGCGAGCTCATACTTTGCGTATCCATCCGGTGCTTAAATTGAAAATCAAGTTGGATGTACTAAATTTTGCGGACAATAGAAATACTGGAGAGGAGAAAAAAGAACCCCGTGTAGCAGTAATGTTTTATTGAACTTCGGAATACATATATCGCTACCTGTTTTACCAACGCTAGTGGGCCCAATCACGCTTGTATCCATTGATTCCATACACGTACATAATAATGGTCTCGTGAACAAAAGTGCAACTTTTAGCTACCTTTAATTGCCTCCCTGGATGATCAGCACAAGAAGGCGCTCCAGGCGAAAAGTAACTCTCCACCCCGCTTGTGCCCAAGAAGTACAATAACCATTTATCCACGGAATAAACCAGGCTAATAAAACGGGTGCACAATTGGCCTCTGAGATGAGTCTGAATTCAGCTGCTCTAGGAGAGCATAGATAAAATATTGCTTCGATTGTGGAATAGATTAGTACAGTTTCATTGAGTCCAGTTATTTGTTGGCCTTGCAATTGGTTTCCTTTTCTGTTTACTTAAAAATCACGTTTACCCAATCCATTACTATGTTCTGGCTCAAAAAGTAAGAACTAGCCCCCCCCCCCACCAGTATTTTTGACAATAAATTGTAAATTACTTAACAATACTGTTTTTGACAATAATTGTAAATTACTTAACAATACTGTTGGAAGCGATTTAGTTTGATAAGGAGTTGGTGACATGTAGCTTTCAGCGGACTCCCACCCGTCTCACTATACAACAGGTATACGGGATTTCCATATTGTGATGATTGGCTTGATAGGAAGATTCTAATTTATTATAATTGCTCTCAGAAAAGTGGATTTAGGTACGGCTGAATCAATCAAGGTAGTCATATGGTAAAACATCACTCTTTCAAGAGAACGGTTGGGCTCATCTAAGCTGTAGCAGCTTTGTTTTGCTTCCTACTTTGGAAAAATACCTGCCTAAAAAACACGCCATAAGTTTCAAAGACAGTGTGATTTCCCATTGACCAAGAAAAAAGCACTGTTTCTACTACCTTTGGTAGTATATTAGAAAACATCGCCGTTCCTCCTCAACTTTTCATTTCAAGGGAAATAACTTACATTAACTGACCCACTAAACGCGCTTATCCATGGCAAACAGAAAACAGTAGTTGGAGGATTTGGCAACGAAAGGTTGGTTGAAGAACGTAGCTTGGCATTAACAGAAAATTCATTTGACTCGTCTCCCTTAACTGAAGAGGAAACGACACAAATCAAATGACAAACACAACTACTGACTGCGTTAATTCGTTACATTTTGCGCGAACATGGTAAGCCTCGGGGCACTCTAATATAATGAAGTATGAATGATTCTTAGAGGACAGCGCTCAGTTACAGGTTACTCTCCACTGAAACAGGAAGAGTTGAGACCACTGGGCGTTTGCTAGGTTCACTGCTTATTCAGTTCAACCTTTTTCTACAAAGAAATTCGTCAAGGTATTTTCATTAGTAAACTTATTATAACCTGGAATATGTTGGCAATCAGCGGACGCACTAAAAATGAAGGTGACTCTATTAGAAATAAACCAAATTTGAACTTGTTGGAAAGCTTACAAGTCACAAAAATAAAATGTCACTTCAATTGTACTAAATCTTGGAGGAAAAAATTAAAGATCTCTTGGGAAGATTTGGTCTTTTACCACTGGGTACAGCAGCGGCTGTTTCATTATCAAAATACATAGGTGGAAGTTTGCAATACATGCATTCTCGAAAGAGCAGTGCGTACGTAAAACCCAATCAAAAATATTTTATTTCATTCTGAGTCTTAATAAAGCAGTTTAATTTTGGAGAAGCTTAAATTATTTTCAGTCTTGGACAAACATCAACAACCCGTCAAAATTAAGCAATGCCTATACCTAAGAATCAGCTATCCATGCAAGTTTTAATGTGTTTCCTAAGAGCTCTTAATTTTTATCACCAAAGGTATTTTTGCTTATTAGTACGCGTTTAGTTTGTGGAGTGACCCAAAGTAACATAATCTACAAATCCGTAACTCCTAGCTGAACGTCATTTACTCAGGGAATGAAAGTCAAGAAAACCTATCCATTGTATATCGTTTAGCCATTGCCTTCGGCTGGATTCTTGTTGGGCAAGCCTATCCATTTATGACATGCACGAAAACATTTGCTCCCGTTTTGATTTGCACTATGTAAGTATATTTTAATATTGCATTCTATATTACGGTAAAACGCAGGGATTCTATCACATTCTGGTGAACCGGTTTCTGGATATCCTCCATCACCATTTTTATATGAGCATTTCACTGGTCTACTGAAGCTTATTTGGGGGCTTAAATCGTTGGATTATTGTTTGATATATTTTTGACATGTTTATGTTAACATGTTTAAAATAGAAATCATCTTGGTCACATAATCAATGACAGGTTTCATTGCAGGCATTTTGCAAGTTATTTGGGCCACAAAATGGACATTGTAGTCTTTTCCGCGCTTTCCTAAATTTAACTGCAATTTCCCCCCTCACTATCTCAGTTGCCTTCAAAATATCAACTACGTGTCATTTTGAACTTGCGGTTCACAAATTTGTGAACTTGTTCCGACAATACTATCTTGGCAACCTTTATATACAGTTTATGTAAAAAATACATTGAGTTCCGGTTTATTTGTGGCGGGTACGACGATGACACGAACGGTTCGAATTCCGTATCAAAATGACTTCAGTAATTTATTCGTAAATGCCGACTTCGTGCACATCTTAGTGTTTCGTCCTATGCTTATCAATTGCTAAATGCGAAATATCACTGCAAGATTTGATAAGATCCAACCCATACCTCATTTTCGCAAAGGAGTAGGATCACGACTTGACCATTGAGCATGACATTCGTAACTGTTCACCTCGTTCTTGTTTAAAACCACCGCCTTTTATGATGGAAACGGTGAGATAAGTTTGTTGTTTGTGATTCTGGGTGATATGAGTATTAGGGGATCTTGAAACACAGCCAACGCGTCCACGTGGAAGCTGTTACCCCGCCATAGATAACTGACAGAATTTATTCACCCCACTTAATGGGTGACAGTCATTCACTCATTCTCCTGTCTTGGCTTAAAGACACTTTAGTTGCCAATCAAATTTGACTAGTTTTATGGTGTTTGGGGCAGAGTAAGTGCCTTCATACAATATCTGACCTCAAACTGAACAAGTAAATCCATACACGTGAGACGTTTTATTCATATTTCTATCCGAAGAATTATATCAGCCACAGATTTCTGATTTACTGACTGAAATGAAATGATGTTTAGCCCAGTGAAGCAGCGAAATTCGCAATACTCTGATTTTAATCCGAAATCAGTACGGGTTACTAATGATCGTGTTGTCAGTAATTAACTGAATTCAAGAGACAGCACACACAAAATAATTCATGTTACATTTTTTCTCAACATTGCACTAAAATATCAATACCTACAAAGTTCTCCAAAAGTCATCATTTCAAAATTGTATCCTAGAGATTACGATTCAAGCGCTGCAGCCCGATGTCAAAAGTTAATCTGGAAGCACCCGTAACGCACGAAGGAACTTCAGGGTAACATATCAATAAAGGGGATAGTTTCTGTAGACATGTTGACAAGGATAGGGTTATTAAAGTCAGACTATAGTGCTCCCCATTTGGCGGTCAGTCCAATATTCCAAACCCCACTGAAGCCACAAAATGAATACCCGTGTTTAGGATACTGTCGTCTGTAAGATTAAATTATATAAGTATAAGCTCACATTATTCAACAGCGCATAAAATCTTCCTCCAAGGTTGACGATAACAAGATTATAAATAGACGTAAAAATGACCAGCAACCCAACTAGGATTTCTATTATAAAAGGACTAATCCGTTTTATTTTTCATTTCATCAAAAATATTCATGATATTTAAGAGTCGATAATGAGTAAAGTGAACATTTCAGTTAAAGCCCCTCTATCGATCTATTACTCCAACACGAAAATAACAGTCAACGAGACCTGGTTTTCCACTTGTTGTCTAAATGAATTTCAGATAAATAGACTACATTTTGGATGCTTACTCATTGATGACTTTGATAACAATTAGAAGATTGGACTCACAAACCCAGCCAACAACAGCTTGTGCTTGCTTTGATATCCAATTTTTTTGGAATAGGTCGTTGTACCTGAATTCGATATACTTCACTTGCTAGCATCAAATGTGTGTAGACATCCTAATCAAGATACGCTTCGCTTTTGAAATAGATATATATATATATATGGCGCATATGAATGCATTACCTGAAGTAGTAAACCATCACTCATGGAGTCTACCTTTTAGAGCTTCATCAAAGGGAGCACCTGTATTTGAGGGCAAAATATATTGGAAATAAATTCAAGATTTTGCGATAAGGTGTGCTTCAAAATGCGAAAACAATTATATGAATTCAGTAAAAATCTTACGACTTGGAAAAATGAGGACAACAAAGCCAAGGATGTTTTATTTCTGACAATATGAGTATTTTACTGGCATCTAACGAATAGTATTCTCATGGTGAAACAAATCCTTTTGGTCAAATGAGTATTGCTTTCATGGAATAGTGATTGTCCTGAAGATGCCGGAGATATCTGATTCATTTTGCACATTATTTCGCTTTCGAAATGAAGAGAGAATCCTGGACGGCCGTCTCATTATTGATGACATCTAATTAAATCGTCTTAATTTTAATTTTGCCAGACATTCAAAACAGTAAGATAAATTCTTCGAACTTCCTCTTTTTTTTACTTTCTCAACTGTTCATGGTGCTCAATGAGCGCTCCGCATGTAGTTTGTTACGACATTCGAGGAAACAAATCCATTAGCCAGGCATACAGAGATACTCCTTGATTTTACTCAAAAGCCTTTTTCAGCTCGAGATAGTTTCGGTTATTAACGGGCGCATCAAATTTTCAGAGTAAAACAAACACCGCGGATGTCTTTACTAACTGAGCACAACTTTTCCTAGCCGTTGGTCAAACAAGAAAACGACATTTCAACTTATTTTGAGGCGTATTTAGCAACCTTATAAAAGTTACAACAAAAGAATACGTCGAGGTACCTGAAACATCATGAGAATTTAAAAATTAGACGGCCTTTGTATCAAATCTTCAGCCAAAGTCCATTGTCAACTACGCATCCAGCTACGGTCGGACTAGTCACTGGATTAAAATTGTCTCGCAAGCTATAGAGATGCAAAACAAACTTTTGTACGCAACCATCTGGTAAGTTTTCTTCTCTATAGGACAGACTGATTGTTCCCTTCCACAAAAATCTACTCTACTGGTGACGTTCATCACTGACAACAATACAACTCAGGAGGCTTTCCTTAAATGGATTCCAATATCACCTAGTATAAGAAGAATTTGCAAGGCAAAAATAATGAATGAGGATGCAAAGAGCTTTATTTCAAAATTGTCCATATAACAGCAAGTGGATGCCGCACGCACCCTATCAAGGGGAACTTGCTGGAAGGCTAAGTACTGCAATGCTCCATCCTCCGGATTACCTTCGTTCAAAGATCGACCGTGCAAACATTATCAACATACACATCAGGAAATAACGCGTGAGTAAAATTGGAATCTCAAAGGTACAAAGACATGATATCAACGGGCGAAAACAGCAATTTAGTTGGATAACTGGACGAAAAGTGTGCGTTTCTCCGACGAGATGCTAATTAGGAATGTTGTGCCCTATGAATGTGATTGAATGAATATGTTTCACAGTCTTTCAATTGACTACTGAGCTTCCCGTGGGACGAGAGTAATAAACCTAAAATCTATAACTGGGGGAATTCTAAGGATCAGCTTCATGACATTATGTTAGTTTCAGAGCAATTTTCCAACTGGGTACACAGGTACTACGGATTTTCCAAACGAGGTCAATTATTTGAAAAAAACTTACCACACACACTACAGAAAATAGCAAGGAGATATTTTGTGTCGGATCACTCCTATGAAATATCAAAAGCAATAAACAATAAGGTGGTAACACCACTAGGTGTTAATAGCTATGTTAATTTCATTTCAAAATAAAAATCCAATAGAAAAAATGATGCAAAACGTCAGAACACACAAGGTCAGTTACCAGCCCGGGCCATCAGGACCCACCCAAAACGTGGTGCTTTTGAGCTTCTTGTTGAAGATTATGATTGTATTGATTTACCGTGATAATGTGCAGCAAAAGGAGGCACTACATAGTGAAG